CCCCCACCAATCTAGTTTTGTTAGGGGTTTTACGAAAGCACAAATGGATCAAAATGGTATTGGAAATCATTTGATTAAGTTTATTGGCCAAGAGGCTCTGAATTCACGTGACTTGAATTCAACCGGAAATATACTGATCAAATCTTGAAAATTGAGCTTCAGAGCATTTGAAGATCACGGGATGAAGCTTCCTCTTATAAGAAGATGTGATCAACTAAAAATTCTTCTGGAGTTAAAGTGATCTCCAGACTGCAGTCTATGTTAGTATTCGACGTCCTTTTCAATATTTCGCTCATTCCAGATGTCAACGTCTGCTTAAAACAGCCAGCCATTCAATTTTATGTAAGATGTATGTAGCGCAAAAAAAATTATTCATATTAACAGTTTCAAAAGTTACTAGGCAGAAGCATATACAGTGGTGCAGGCAAGTTCATAATTTTCCCTTCAATAACATTTTAATGCCTTGAATAAAATTAGAATTTTATTTTAAATTCTTGCCATCACGTCATATTTTTTGGAAGAGATTAGTCCCTTTAATAATATTTTGCTAAATAGTCAATTTTGTTGTTAAATTAAAGGAAAAGTGACTTTTATGTTGTTTTTCCCCCGAACAAAGTGTGGTCGAAAGTAGCTTTAGAGGCGACCTGTGTTTTGGGCGTAGAAGACGGCTCAATTACAGAGCACGTTGGAGTGAGTATAGGCGACGTCTTTACCCGGTTGAGTTACCAAAGCGCGTCAGTATCTTCGCTGCTCCGACAAAATAATTTTTGGGTGGCAAATGAAAAGGAGTTCTGTGCTCTCACTCTTAAAGCATAGTAATGGGCTTAGCTGTTAGTGTATAGTATTGAAATTATGGATGAAAATACCTTGGATTGAATAATATTTAAAAGTATTTTTTTGGTGACTTACGCAGTGGGGTCCATTAATGCATTTTTTAAACTCATTGGATCACCACATTTGTCGTCTGTCCACGAAACTTGGGATTTACTCCGTGGAAGGGCTTGGCGTCTTCGTTGACCAGCGGTTAATTTCTCATTCCAGGAGGAATGTGTACCGAATATTCTGGGAGTATCCCCATTTCTAGCACGTCTTTTCAATAATGAACCTCCCAAATCCTTTGGTAGAAAAATTACAAAAGAATTTCATAATCCAGTGTCGACAGTAGTGAGTGTATCAAATGCTACTGATTTTAAATGAGTAACGCGATTTTAACTTACGCAACTTTCAGATGATTCCGCCATGGCAAGAGAATGCTGACTATCGACACGACAAATCGTCAGTCTCTTAGGCGATTTTTGATGAAGATGTGCAAATGGTACGCTGCCCGCACGTTGTGCTTCTCCCGCTAAAATATAACAGTAGGACTTATGAGCATGATCGAAAAGAGCTCCAATTTGTTTGAGGACTTTATATACCTGTGCGTTCCAGCTGCACAGCCTTCGGAACATTCGCACTAGCGCAAGCCCTCAACTCCTGACGTTTCACTTGTGAGAGAGCCTCAAGTTGGTCTTTCGTCTCATAGCTCAACCAGCGTGAAAATGGTCCGCGTCGAGATGGCACACACGAAGTTCCATAGAGCTGTTAGATGTTAGCAAAATATTCCGAATACACTTTCTACTTAAATGTTTAAGTGGAACAAACTTTATTCAATACCTGAGCGATCCGCTGATTCCAGATTCGCATCTGAGTGGCTTCTGATCCGCGTCGTATGGGAGCGCATTTATAACCGCCATGGCTCCTACTTTCCACACATTCAGGTTTACCTAGTATACCAACTGTGCCTTGTTGAAGAAGTGATATTTTGAATGCTTGGATGGCTTCCATGCTAACTTTGCCCTGAGTCTCGACCAGAAAGGCATTCACTAATTTTTCACAACAGCAGACATAGTTCCTTCCAACTTCTGAGAAAAGAAGAAAATGACTCCAGTGAATAAGGTTTCTAAGGATATGAAAAACTCAGTTTCCTAACTCCAGGTTAAATGGGTGTCATCTCATATCCCTATGCTAAACCTTAGGTTTAACTGAATTATTTTCAGCTCACAAACCACTGTGCTCCACTCTGTTTCTCTGCTTTAGTACTCTAATAACTCCGAAGTTAATGATGACTTATACTCGCCCTTGGCGAAGAAAATATGAAATATTCTGAAATATTATAACTTTATCCATTATGAGATCGATGGAGAAGAGATATAGGCGTGCTAATGGCCTGTTAGTAATGGATAAGAATGTAAGTATTGCAATAGTGGTTTAGAAAATGTACAAAAATGTGAAACGTCGATAGCAATCCATATGAGTGAGTAATTGTAAAAGGAAGACTTATGATGGTCCTCAATGAACTAATCTTCTTTCCACGCTATTGAAAAAAATGTGTCTGATAGAAACAGGCTTAGAGGTCTTCTTACTACCGTGAAAAGACCGGTCTTAGGATCGAACTATTGCAGAGCAATGGCATGTAATGATTTAATTCGGTGGATTGATGCGAGAAATCCCACACTTTTGCAATTTCCTTACTCTATGGAGTTTGATCTCGGACCATCACTTTCATGGCGAGTTATAAAGAGAGTTAGCACGAGGTCATGTCTAGGAGGGATAGAACAGGACGAGATGCAAGTCTTTAGTTAAATCGGGTCAACATGACTTAAACAATCAACATCCTAATCTCCTGTTCCAAATGATGGAAGGTTTCAACTGCAATGAACCTAAGCAAAAATGGTAAATTCCAAAATTGTCAACCATATGTTTTCGCTTTCCAAGGAGAAAGTAGGGCTCATGCGGCATCGAAGTGATCCCCATTGTCCCAGTGCGCTGATCATCAATGAACTCCTCCGTCAAACTTTTGGCTGGTTCAATGATTGCAAGAGAGAGAAAGAGATAATGATGCTGAAATCCCGCGTATCAAGCGTCGCCCTTAATTTGAACATTTATTTTTGTGTGCGCTCCTTCAAAAGATCGTTTAAAAAGGTCGCGGTACGTGTTTTTGGGCCCGTTATGCCCGATTTAAACCATAAATACTAAAATGACTTCGATTTATTGTTCTCAAAAAACCCAATGCCGATAACCGAAATGTTCCAAAATGTTCCTGATTATGCCTTGACCAATGAAGGCAGAATCGCACATTTTTAGTGAAAGCAATAATTGAGAAATAAGTGTAAAGCGGTAATTGGTAACATGCAAGCTCTTCATCAGAGGTTCTATGAATTTCGCCTCCTAAGACCAACTTTAAACATTTCCATCAAAGCTAATAACTAAAATTATGAAAGAGGATTGAAAAATCACCAATCCTTGCCCAAATGTACTCGCCTTTTTCCGAAGTTGGATAGTCTATCATGGATGGAGCTTGTCTCATAGGCAAAGAGAATCTCTTCTGAGCAGAAATCACAGGAAGTGTGTCCTGATGTTCCATTGGAGTACGTGTACTCTGAATGGACGTTCTTCTCCGGGGCTCAGGTACAATATTTTCCAGAGTGGTGGGTTCAGTTGGCCCATATGCAACGTGAGCTTCAGGAGGTAGGATTGGCAATTGCGCTGGATATGTTCCCTGTGGTGGGTTTGTTTTAAAGTGGCATTGAAGGTAAATAAGTAATTGGATGAGATGGGGCGATTTCTTAAACTACCTCCATTTTTCTATTAGACCTACCTCTGTTCTATAATTTGACTGTTCAGGGTAACTTCCGCCAAATAGTGGATACGGTCTGTGAAGTGTTGGCATATCGGCTGCACCGTCGGATGAACGTCTTGGAAAGCTAGAGGAATCTACAATCCAAAATTATCATTGTTTATGACATCCATAATTGATACCACAGTTGATGATGTTTCATTCTGGTGATGTACACAGTGAAATTTGAGATTTCCGGCTAATTCCAGTCTCTCAATAAGATCAGAAACCAACGGGGGTTTTTAAAATATGCTTTTCTCTCTAGTAATTTTAAACCTTAATCTTATTAGGCAAAATTAATACTACTTATTGTTAGGTATTTGAATATTTAATTATTAACAACCAATTATGCTTTGCTTTTTATTTAATGAGAATATCTTGATGGCTGTGATCTATATTTCAGTTGAATTTCTCAAAACTCCAATTTCATAAGTACCATCTTCATTAAACGAAGAATAGTCTGCGTTCGATGGCCAAAATAATAAATAAGCACCATTTGAGTAAGATATTTTGAACTTCGATTTAATTATCTTTTCATCAGAACTTAGAATTGATTATGGTCACTAGATTTAATATTTAGATATAAATTCATTTTGGAGAGGACTTGAAGAAGTCAAATCAGCCAATCCGTGGTGAATTTGTAAACTGTTACCATTTTTTACAGAGTCGAAAGGTGGTGCTACTACTTACAAGGAGTCATGAATTCCGGGGGTGCAAGGAGATTTGGATCCTTAACGGTGAAACGTGCGACCGGTTGATGGCTCATCGAGGGGATGTAAGCAGGGAGGTCAAGTTGAGGAAGGGGTTCACCGGTCGAGCAATGTGGCAAGTTCTCCCAACAACTCTCGGGCACGTTGTAGCTTCCTGGAGGTGATTGCTGTTTCGAAAGTCGTGTAAGGTATAACCATTTATTTAGTATTATTTATTCAAATAAGCTAGACCATCTACTCAGTTTCAGGTATTGTAAACCCACGTTATGCTCCTTCGGTCTTCCTCACTTTTTCAATTTCTCCCACCCCTCTATCTACTTTATTCATTCAGTTCTTATTCTTAAAATTTGATATTTCAGTACTTGGGGTGTGCGATAGACTTACCTCCACGTGGTGCA